TATATGCGTGACAATAGACATCATCTCCAAGTATTCCAAGGTCTCATGAGACAGCATAAGTACTCCTGACTGCTCCAGTTCTAATGTTCCTAGTTATGAAGATGCTCTCGCGAACATAAGTCTATAGTACGGTATACGAGTTCTTGGGTGTTGCACGCAGTCTGCATGTGTTTCGAAGTATCAAGGCAACTAAAGGAATCGAATGGCTTGAAGTCTACTTATTTCGCGTCAATTCGTATTCAAGACGTAAATTGCGGTGTTGAGGACTTCAGCGACTTTTTTGCGGCTCGTTTGACGTACCAACAGCCGCCCGCCGACCTTCGAATAGCCCACTGCCTCTCACTCTTGCGACTATCGGAGGGCCTGGCCCACCCCGTGACACTGCGCTCGGGCTCTTCTACCTGTCCACCTTTACCTTGGGGAATACCACGCCAGCGGTCAGCCGCTAGCAGAAGGCTCCCAGCACTGCCCTATATAATATCTTCACCTGTTTGCTCCAACACTCCACCACACTCTCCACTCTACAAACATTTGGGTCTCTTGGTTGCTAACAGCAGTGATTGCATTGCATACCTAAGTATATCAACTCTTTGCTTGTCGCCTTGAGCCTCCAACACTCTCCTCTTGCTGTGAGCATTGTCACCATAAAGCCTTCGGTAACCGACAACACCCCATCACTCAACATGAACCAAGCAGAAGATGTCGAAGTCGTCCTTGGCCATGAGCGTCGCTACAAGTTCCACTCGGGTACTTTGGCGCGTACTTCCACCCTCCTTGCCGATTTGTTGACCGAATGCAACGCCGTCAAATTGAACACACGCGCCAGGAACGCCGGTATCAAGACGCGCTGGATGATCGAACTCAAGGACCTGCCTTCTGATCAACATCCTGCCGGTCGTCTTGACCTTGTTGTATGAAACTCTACCCCCTGTCCTATCCTTAAGTTACCGATAACATTCACTAACAACGATGTCTCCAGGAACTCACACCAACTGCCGAGCGAGCCGACGGTCGCAGCGGTCTGATCGTCAACGAAAACGGACGTATCCCCCAAGCCGTTAAGACCTTCCAGCACTACGAAAGCATCTTCTATGCCTTCTACAACAAAGAGCTCAAGATTGCCGACACCGACATGTCCGCCGCCCTTCATGATTGCTACCAGCTTCTCAAGATCGCCGACTACCTAGGCTGCACCATACTTATCTCCAAGCCCATCGAGATCGCCCTCCTGAAACATGGCCAGGATCTCTTCCGCGCCATCCAGAAGAAGCCGCACGCCTGGATCGAGATGTCGTACCGAATCCGCAGCGAACTCATCTTCCGCGAATGTATCGTTCATCTAGTCGGCAACTGGAGGGTCCTGAAGGCTTCCCGCAGCACCCTGGACTACCTCCGTGAAGTCCCCGGTCTACGCGCCTTGCTCGAGAAGTACCACCGCGCGATGCTTAGCCAGTGCAAGTCCGTCGAGCTGGCGGTCATGTCCCTCTATCCCGGTACCATGCGCCTCCCCGTAGAAGACCTCCCCATCAAGCGCGAAGCCTACGCCAAAGACATCCTCGTCTGGATAGCACTCACCTTCTTCCGCCACTGGATTGGTCAGCGCCTCATCATGGACAAAGGCCGCCACGCTTCCGACTGCGGTTTCGAACTCTACAAGGCGATCGGCACAGCAGGAGATTCCTACATGGACAAGTCTGTCATCAACCAGTTCCACACCAAATTTCCCATGACGAAGAAAGCCATGAACGTCCTGGAGAACCATCTGCTCGAGATCAAGGAGTGCATGAAGACCGTCGTCGATCAGCACAAGATCCTCAAGTCAACCTGCCAGCTGGATATCCATCGCTTCCCTGTTGAGTATCTGACTTGTACTGAGTTCGACAAGGGCGATTACCCGTGGGACAAGGACAGCGAGGGTCCTAGGGTGCTTCCGGCGAAGAGGGCGTACAAGCCTGGTGGCAATGACATAGCTCGCAAGAATTTGGATACCGCGAGGATGCATCAGGAGAGGAGTATGAGTATGGAGGGTGACGAGGAGGAAGATTCGGTCGAGTTTGAGAGTGATGATGATGAGGAGGATACTAGGGGTAAGCGGGCTAAGATTGATTAGGTTTTGGATTGAGGCATCCGCCAGGCGGTACTTTTGGGCTGGTTTTGAGCTTCACAGGATGCCGTGAGTGCGTCCTGGGCATTGTGTGTTTTTTCAAAAGTGAGGGTTAGGTTGGTATGTCGGCGTCAAACGGATCTATGGCTGGACGGAAATGCGGTATTGGGTTGCTTGTAGTCGGCAAAAGGGTCTATGAGGGCATGGAAATTTCTTGATAATGGCTCGACTACCTCCACGGTTAGACAAAAAATGATGGTTCTTGACTGTATTCTTATGTTGTATTGAAGTGAAAGGGAATATTCTGACTTGATATCTCCTTGATTCCGATTGAAAGCGGCATTCTAGTTATCTCCTCCATCTCCCCTGATATACTCTACTCGTCATCGAAGCCCGTCGGTCTCGGCCGTTGTCCCTTTGGTACTGTGACAAGTCAGCGAATCATCCTATTTCTCCACATTTTCCATATCCAGTCCACCGAATATCTTAGCAACCAATCTCTCCATCCGCCACGTACCTGGGTATGTCATGGGGATCTTGGGGATCTGCTCCTCGCCCATATATCTCCGAATCGGGGGAACGGTAACGACCATTATGGGACCAGCGCATCCGACCATGATGGAGTAGAAGTATGCGGGCTTGTTGATAGAGGCCCATTTCATGTAGCGTATCGGCTGCTGGAAGAAGCGCGGGGAGGGGGGAATGCCGGACATGGTCGCTGTGTAGCTGTTGGTATGTGAGCGCGTATTTCGGAGTCGCAAGGCAAGTATGCGCGTACGTAAACTATCCCTTGTCGTGCGTCGGTAGGTCCGGTAATCAGCAGGCTCAATGCCGCAGTCTGGTGTCGCAATCGCAAGTTGTCGGCGCGAGTCTGGTGTTCGTGAGGTCGCAGCCCGTAGCTCACTCACCTCCGCACTCCAATCGGCGTGCAGCGATTTTCCGGGACCGATGGGCTTGGCAAAAGCATACGTATCTCCGTTACAGCTCTCCACACGCCGGCGCAACTCGACAAGTCCAATCTTCGATCAACCACAAGATGAGGTGGTTACTTTCTTTTACCGTCGCCTTCGTCTGGTCGGTGGTGGTGCAGGCCAAGAGTTTCACTGGCAACCGCTTGCTGGTTGTGCTGGAGGAGCAGACTGAGAGGGAGAAGTACAGTGTGTTCCTGGAGGACTTGACGTGTAAGTTATGACTTAGTTTAATTGTGGCCGGAGATGTCGTGCTATCTTCAAGTCGCGCAAGGTGCGATGCAAAGACGAGGCATTGGCAAAGGTCCGAAGCCGTCGAACTTGCAACTTGGCCTTGCGCAGCAGATGACGCTCAATTGAATCCACTGATAGTGGGCCAATGCTGACACGACTGTATAGCCCGGGGATATACCACATCTGTCGAATCACCAAAAGAGAGCAAGCTCTCATTACTGAAGCACGGCGAACGAGCATACGATCATGTCCTCCTCCTACCCGGCAAGTCGAAAGGCCTCGGCCCTGCCCTCACAGCGAACAACCTCCTCGAATTCATGAAGAAGGATGGAAACATCCTGGTTGCCCTTTCGAGCGAATACGCTATCCCCACAGCCGTCCAGGCCATGCTTCTGGAAGTCGACATCAACATCCCAGCGGACAAGGGCGCATTGGTCGTTGACCACTTCAACTACGATGCGTCATCGGCAAAGGAAGAGCACGACGTATTGCTCCTGCCGTTCCCCAAGTCGCTCAGGCCAGATGTCAAGAACTACTTCGCTGGCGAGGGATACATTGCCGTGCCACGCGCTGTCGGTCAGGCTCTTGGAAACGAATCACCTCTCACCTCGCCCATCCTCCGCGCCCCTAGCACCGCCTACAGCTACAACCCCAAGGACGAGTCTGATGGTGTTGAGGACCCCTTCGCGGTTGGTGAGCAGCTGAATGTCGTCTCTGCGATGCAGGCGAACAACGCAGCGCGTCTGGCAGTTGTCGGCTCAGCCGAGATGCTCCAGAACAAGTGGTTCGCTGAGAAGGCCAAGCTAGGCGACAAGGCCATCACGACTGGCAACCGCGAGTTTGCGCAGAAGCTTTCCGAGTGGACCTTCAAGGAGACGGGTGTGCTGAAGATTGGCAAGCTCCTACATTACCAAGACGAGGGTGCCAGCAAGAAGTTGAACACCAGCACTGCCATTCCTGAGAACAACCCTGGCATTTACCGTATCAAGACCGACGTCGTAAGTCTTCTGTAAACCATGCTTTAGAGGAAGGTACTAACAGACACAGCACTTCCAAGTCGAGATCTCCGAATACACGAACGACCACCTCGCTCCCTTCGTCCCCTCGCCCAAGGATAACATCCAGCTTGAGTTCAGCATGCTCTCGCCCTTCCAACGCCTGAACCTCTCTCCAATCGCGCAGACCGCGAACGCAACCATCTTCGGCGTCGCGTTCAGGACACCCGATCAACACGGCATTTTCAACTTCCGCGTTAACTACCGCCGCCCATTTGTCACAAACATTGACGAGAAGAGGCAGGTTACCGTCAGGCACTTTGCGCACGACGAGTACCCAAGGAGTTTTGAGATCAGCGGTGCGTGGGTCTGGATTGGCGGTATTTGGGTCACCGTTCTGGGCTGGTTGGCATTTGTTGCCGTTTGGCTGTACAGTGCGCCCAGCGAGAAAAGCACAAAGAAGACGCAGTAGATTGGCTACAGGGTTTTGGATGGGAATGTGCTCCGGCTATGTGTGTGTAAACAAAATACTCCGTCGGCGATGCGCGGTATGTATATTATGGATAAAGGGCAAGAATGACCCAAAATTTCGTTGCGAATGGAATACCAAAGAATACCACTATCTGTTTCAGACCTACCATTTTCGTGCGCTCTGGTATCCTCGAAGACTTCACTCATCTCTTTCACGCCGACGTTCCCTCAAAGCTTACTCTGTTCCTCCAAGACCCGCGGATGCGCTACCTTCCCAGGCTTCAACTTACTCCAATCCTTCTCATACCCCTCTTCCACGTCCGGATACGGTCCTAGCGGCGTGATACTAAGCGGGTTGATATCGCCATGACTCTTCGTATACTGTGCGCGCAATTGAGGTCAGCCATCACAGCACCCTGTATGAACCCGAGCAATTCCACTTACATTCTCCTTGATATGCCTGAAATCCGTACTCTCCTTAAACCCCTCGACGTTGTGATACAGATTCTTGAGCCAATTGTTCAGAACAGGGTAGTCATGCCGTATGGAACCCAGATTCGTCTTGAAATGCTGCGAGTATACCGTGTCGAAACGGACGATCGTCGGATAAGCCAGGAGATCGAGTTCAGTCAGCTTGTCGCCCAGGACATACGGTCCGCCGTTCTTGTGCACAAGTTCTTCCAGTCGGTTCAGCGCAGCAAAAAGCGGAACAACACCCTTCTCGTAGCCTTCTTGAGTCGGCGCGAAACCCGATTTATACACGCCCGCGCAAATCAGCGACTGCAACCACGGACTGATCTCATCGATCTTCTGCCTCAGCTCCTCGGGATAGAAGTCGTATCCCACACCCTTCCCCTCACTCTTCAACACGGAATCAAAAGCCCGCGGTAACCACTTCAACATCTCCGCACTCTCATTATTCACTATACGACCGCTCTTCTTGTCCCACAGAAGCGGCACGCTGTATTTCCCCTTGTAAGCTGGGTCGTCGCGGAAGTAGATCTGGTGCATGAACTGGCTGTCGAAGAGGTGGTCGGGTGTTGCGTTAGGGTAGCTGGCGTCGAAGCGCCAGCCAGGTTCGCCCTTTGGGTAGGGGCGGACGATGGAGATGGGGAGGTAGGGTTGGAGGTGGTTGAGGTGTCGGACTAGGTTTGGGCGGTGGGCGAAGGGGCAGAAGAGACCTGGGTGATGCGTTGGCGTGAGTGTTGCTTTGGTATGGTGTCATGGTTTTGTGTGGGCTTACCGATGTAGAGGTGGTATCTGTCTTTCTCGGGTGGGAAGTCACCTCCTTCTTGGATGATGCCGTGCCAGCCATCGTCGGTGCCGTACTTGTGGATTTCTTTGGTGGACATTTTAGGCTGAGTGGATGATAGATGAGATTCAACATATGGAAAGGACAAGAGAATGTGTTTCTATTAGGAGAAGTCTCGGCTATCTGTTCATATGTCGCTCGTTATACTAATGATTGTGTACTGTGAAGCTGGAGCACAGCTCGTAAGCTCATAGTGGGGTATCTCAATGCCTCCTCATAAGCTTATGCAGGGACTGCGGAACTGGTTCCGAAGTCGAGCTAAATCCGGAACTCAGGTGCAGCACTTCAACTCTTCGCAAGTTACACCACAAGGCACACCGCATGTCTCAGTACTCGTTCGTGCAGTATGCGTTGCACTTACAACGCCTTCGGATGTTTCTCTGCCTCCATCTTCAGCCTCATGGAGCCTGTCCGAAGAAGCAGCCAGCTCAGGCTGTAGTGTTGCCGAGTGAATGCCGTACGCATGCAGACATTCAGAGAAAATCTTGGCTTTGCTCATGAAGCTCGCGATGTCAGGGTCACTGACCACAACGTGTGCTGATGCGACAGCTTTCTTCTGATCCAGACGCCAGACGTGCAGTTCGTGCACACTAAGCACACCAGGAATGGCCTCCAAATCGTGTTTGACGTCCTCGATCTTGACGCCCAGGGGAGCAGACTGGAGCAGAATCTTGCCGCTACGCTTCGTGAGGGGAATTGCAGTGAGAAGTATCATGATGGCGATCCACATACTAACTGCTGGGTCGGCATAATAACGATTAGGCGACTTGACGAACCATATGATAACGGCGGAGATGATGACACCGATGTTGTTGATCGCGTCGCCGATAACGTGGATGAGAACTCCGAGAATACCCAGATCCATTCCGTGCTTCTTTGGTTTCGCGGATATGTGCAGGTGATTGGCATGCATTGGCGCAAGTGACATACTCTCCTCGTCGCCGCTGCTACCAGGGCCGTGGTCGTGATCATGCTCATGTAGGAACAAGGCACTGATGATGTTGAGAGCTAGGCCAACACAACCCACAATCAGGACTAGTTTGGGATTGTCGACGCGTTCAATGGAGATAAAGCGCTCGATAGATTGTAGTGTGATGCTGACGCCGAGGGCGAGAAGGAAAGAGCCGTTGAAGAAGGCGCCGAGGAGTGAGGCCCGCGCCCAACCGAAGGAGAGATCTGGAGGTGAAGTCTTGCGCTCTGTCACCTGGACAGCTACCAGGGCCACGATAAATCCGATAAGGTCGTTGAGCTAGGCACGTTGTTAGTGATTTTACGCAAGAAAAGTGCAATGTTGGCAGTAGGATGACGCGGGACGTACATAGTGGAAGGCATCAGCTACCAGGGCAAGTGATGATGTATAGAAGCCTACGGAGATTTCGGCCGCGAAGAAGCAGAAAGATATGGCTATCACGGCCCTGAGTCGGGTCTTTCGGCTGACTTGGAAGCGGCCATGCTTGTGCCCATGCGCATGATGGCCTGGCTCGTGGTGGTCGTGGTTGTGGGCCATGGTATTGAAAAAACAATGATATTAGGTGTTAAGAAAGGGTTGAAGAAGAGCTCATGGTACCGAGGGAGAATAGAAAGTAGCAAACGAGGATGCAGACCGAGTACCTGCCTGGCTTTATGGACGTTTGTACCATGTTCAGGAAAAGGTGTGAAACACAGGGACTCAGTGACGGTGCGAAATTCGAATCAAGATATGACAACGGTTAGATACCTAGATGAACCTCTAAGACACACTACCTGTACTATCAGAACCCTCCAAGTTCATGTAGTACTTGTACGTACGGGTTAGTCACAGACTACTAGAATGCGACTGCCTGCAGATTGCGATAGCCATGTAGTCACTGACGGTAAGGACGGGAGCCATCGCGTAGGTGTAGTTCTCGATCTGTCATCGCGATATGTTATCATGTAGTTCTGCCAAACGGTATGTCATTGCCTAGCTCCCGAGGTCGCGTCCAGGGATAAAACGTGGAGCGTATGGAAAGCTGCCGCACGTCACCATGTGTAGCTCAGCGATATGTTACCGAACGATGGACATGTTAAGGGTAGATGCTCTAGCATACGTGATTCGACACAATTTTAGAGCGGCAGTAGATTGCGGTAGCGTGAAAGACAGATTCACATGATAGCGCGGAGGACCTAACCCAATGCCGCCTAACGCCGGAAGTGCCAACACCGCCTTTCGACCAAACGGCCTGGACCCTCCCCGCCGTCGCAAATAATCTCGCAGAACCACCAGCCTTCACACAAACAAATCCTCGGACTTTGATCGCTCTCGACATATATCTCCACTCACACTCAGCGACTGACTATCAGCAAACTACAAGATGGGTAACGGAGCCAAGTAAGCCACTTTACATGTATCCAGCAGCCCTGGAACGCTCGCTAACATTTTTCGAAGAGCGCAGCAGAAACGCGACAGGAAGGGTTAGCATCTCACCATAGGAGCCGCCTGTGAGACAGACACTAACTTCGTACTCCAAACCTACAGGCGATGCCGGTCCCAAGGAAGCAAAGAGCCAACTGAAAGCCGTACGTAACCCCGCTCCTTTGCGCGATCCTGCAACGTCGCAGTTCCGCATTCAAATCATCGTTACAAGTCGCACTGCTAACAAGACGCCAGAACGCCGCCGCCCAGACCATCAAGTGCAAAACCTGCTTCCAAACCTTCCAGGGCACCACGAGCCGCAAGATGCTTACCGATCACGCAACCAACAAGCACAGCAAGGAGTTCGACGTCTGCTTCAACGCTGACGAGGGTGTTGTGAAATAAGCGACCAGACTTCCGAGCGAGTGCACGACGACAACGGACGATACTACAAAGTTTGCTATTTACACGAGCATGAGATACCACGGGCGAGGAGTGAGGAGTTGAAAGGGGACGGCCATGTATGGCGATTTGACGAGGCATGATACACAGGCGTAGGGATCGATATATCACGAATCAGACTATTGGCTACCATACGCCTTCTTTTCTCATACTGCTACCGAGAGGCTGTCTCTTCTGTGACCGACTGACGGTAGTGATTCAGTGTTGAGGAACCTAAGATTAACGACCTTCCAGGGGCACAGATACGAGTTGTTGGACCAGCGTAAGCGGGAGACGACGCGTGTAACAAGCACCTGGCCGAGATACTGAGTATATAAAGCAGACACGTGCTGTTGGCCGATTCGACAAAGACTTGGGAAATGCATGGACGCGTTGCCACTCACTCCTTTGGAACCACCTGTTGATGCGCTTTAAAAGTCGGATTTCCCCCTAATTCAAACAAGCCACTTTAAAGATGGCACCTAAGCATAGCCTATGGTGCGACGCCATTCTGGTATTGCAACACTTCACTTCAACATCGTTATCCTGTGTTTATGTATGATAAGCGCGCACGTCTCGCGTCTTACTTGATTAGGTGATCCGCACAGTAGAGTCGAACTTGCAGTCCTGATGTGCAGAGCGCATACCTATACACGAAAACCCCGACCCGGAAACAGACAGGCCGAGGTGCAACGTGCAACAGTAATGAATACAGTGTTCCTACATTGCCAATCACCACCATCCCCAGTTCCCGTCTCAGGCCTGGCCAAGTCTAGCCCGCGGTGCAAACCCCACTTCCACCCCACCAACGTACTTCATCACGACGCAGGGTTTTGATTTCGCCACAACAGATTACTATTGGATCTTGCCCCTTTCTTTACCCTTAGCTTTGTCGTCTCTGCTGTCTGTTTTGGGTTATGAATGTTGTACTTTCCATTTTCTCCATCAATTCCCTATCACAACCGTCTCCTTAGCTCAATTGGGAGAGCGCCAGACTGAAGTCTCAGTCACTAAATCTGGAGGTATCGTGTTCGATCCACGAAGGGGACAACGTGCTCGAGCTTGCTCGGGATTCTTCGAACCATTCTTTTTGCGGGTGTGACCGACATGGCGGACGAGTCTGGCTTGTATCCTTTTTGCTGGTGTCGGCGGTTTGTGTGAGAACACGAGGAGTACTCTGATAAGTACTATTACTTTTGCGCATAGTACGAAGTCCACCTGACAGACGTTATAGGCTTGTAGACTCTAGGTCTTGACCAAGCGCACTGGAAGGCTGGCCGTGAAGTGCTTTTGTTTTGAGCACCTGTATGTCATAAGGGTGATACTAATCATTACATCAAGTTCCATATACCTCCTCTCTTCTTGGACAGCTTTTTGTGCACTTCGCGTGCTAAACCCCCAACCCTCCCTGTAGAAACCGAAAGCATGGTATTGTTCCCCGGGAAACACGCTGTGTCACAGCCCTCATATCGCCAACCTGTTGTTGTCCGTCCATCCCACCCACACCCCACCAATCTCCCTCGCGATATCCTCCGCAGTCCTCCCATTCGCATCCCTCAGACTCCTGATATCGATCTTGTCCTCTGTAAGCCCCCTCATAATACCCATAGCCTCCGCCTCCTGGAAGACCTGCGTAGGGAAGTCTAGCAGCGGGTAGTTACTCGCCAGCAGCAGTAACAACCACGCGACCTCTCTGCTCTGCGCATGCACTGCGGCATGTAGTCCCGACTGCATATCCCCAATCGGATCCTGGTATCTCAACATCCTATCAATGCCCACCTCCTTCTCCGGATGATCCGTTGTGCTCATTTCGACATCGCCCTCGTCGTCCTCGCTGTCATCGTCGTCATTCAACAGTAGCTCGACTACAGCCTTGTAATCGCCTTCGCGACAGAACTCGAGGAAGGCGCGCGCTTTCCTATCTTCCGGGTACGCTTTCAGGTATGATTCTTCGGTGAGGAGGGGCAGGATATCGAGGTTCTCTTGGATTCCGCCTTCGTTGTTGAGTCGGCAGAGGACCTTTTGTTGACCGTCGCCTGTGCTGGAGATTTCTTTGCTGCAGTGGGGACACGAGGTTATTTCGTAGGCGGAGAGGAGACAGTCCCTGCACGTCGTGTGTTAGCGATAGTATGCGATTGCGCGGAAGGAGCTTTGCGCACCAGTGGAAGTGGCATCCGCAGGTTAGCTGGACGTCATCGGGATATGTTTCTGGTGCCGCCGCGGGTCCTTTGCCGGATGACGATGCGCCGCCCTCGTACTCTTCGTCCTCGTCGCGCTCGACGTCAACCTCCAGGGGCTTGTCGCAGATGACACAGGTAGACATTTTGGTGCTTTTGCTATGTGCTTCGGATATGTGACGGTGTTGGTGTTATGGGCGGGGCTATAGCGGGGGTTGTACTTTTTTTGTCGCTAAAACGGGAGGGCGTTCACGCGTCACGCGTCAGAGTTTACAAGGACGTCATTGACCTCTTGTGGCGGCGTCAATGACTTTGAGGGGTTCCTGCTGCTCATGGATGCATTATGTCTTTGTATTAATTGGCTATTGATGTCCCTATTATCGCAATCTTTGATAGCTCGGGTTCGTCCACATTAAAGGGACGCGTGCGAGCGCGATCCTTTCCCGTCCTGTTCCCCTCGGCCTGCCTTCACCCACACGACTTCTAATGGCGTCTCTCACAACCCTTAAACCATTGCTGAATCGTGTGCCAATCTCGTGAGCTGTCGAGTTCGCTGTCGCCGGGCGGTGATTGTTTCGAGATACTCGCTGCATGGAACGGTTGGGTGGCATGTCTTCGTCCTGTCCATAATCCTGTTCTGCGAAAGCCGTTGACCTCTCCTGGTTCTTCGTCTTCAATTGCTTGAAGTAGCTATCGTAAAGCTGACCCCAATCCACTAGGATGACCCCTTCTTCCATGTTCCAGTACCGGATCGATTTGTTCGATACCCCAAGTGTCCAGTGTTGTCCGACACTCATCGTCACATTGCATCTGGATCGCGACGCGGAGAAAATTCGGGCCCATCCGTAGCAGCCCCGGCGGTCTTCGTCTCGCCATACGCTTGAGATTGGTGCTTCTTGGTCGACGGAGAACACGGCGACAGTTGGATCCTCCACCAGGAATCGATTGAATTGCAACCGGAAGGTGTGATTTCGGCAGCCGAGATTGGAATTGATTATCGTGTGAGGTAGATGGGCTACTGGGCCTCTATGCGACATGGCCGGTCTTGAAGTGCAGGTATTCGGATTCCGTGGTGGGCTCAAATCGGTGGCGCGTCGACACATATTGCAGGAATGATCGGAGAACTCGTGGTCGGTCTTGTTGGAGCTGAACATGTTTAAAAGCGGAAGGCAGAGCATACTGAAAGGCAATGCGAAAGTGTGCGTAGAATAGGCAGTGTTGACGGGAAATGAACAGCTTGTCAACACCTTCAAGGTGGTGCAAACAATGCCATGCAGGCTTTGCTTGTTTCCGTGGGCGATCGAGTTATCTTCCAAATACCAATTCCGGCACTCTGTGTCTGCCACCATAGCCAGGTACGTGCCGGACTACTCCTCACCGTACCATGGTAATGTCGTTGCGTGGCCCTTTTCATCGGTCGCGCTCCGCAGACTAAGGCAGGGAGGGGGACTCACCAGGCCGGCAAGTGAGGAAAAACAGCATGAGCCTTTGCTTTTTTGGAATTCCAGAGCTAGCGCACGCACGTTCTCTCGAAGGAGCGCAAGCTCCGTCTCACCGTCATCTCGCCAGCGAATGCTTGCTGAGGGGGAGAAAAAGCACTGCGATTATCTATGGAACAACAATGTACATATGCATGGCGTACGAGCGAATTGTAGGAATTGGTCGCTCGTAAACTCCACAGAACAACGTACAACACCAAGACCTCACACACCACTTCAGTGATCCCTCGGTCTGCTTGGCAGAATTGGCTGCCTTCCTGACCGCCATGGACATCTTCAGAATGCCATGCTTGGCCCAACGTAGTGCGTGCCCTTTCCATATCAAATCTCCGGCGCCTACGACATCCTCAACAAACCAATACCAACTGCCCTTTACTTTTGACATATCGTAGAAGCATCGAAGCTTCAACGTGCTGTGCGATTGTGGCTCGTGAATCAGTGTAATTACCGCCGAGCATTTGCAATGTGGCGTTTTTGGTGACGGAATGAGACGGACTTGACTTCCTGGACGCCAGGGAGTTGCGCATCGAACGCAAGTTGGTTTGCGATGCCTAGAAGACGACGCTGTTAGCACGTTGATCCTTCAAAGCGGTCAGACTGCGTTTACCATTCCATTCCTCGTCCGCCCTCCTGTCTTCTTCAGCCATCTCTTCAATGCTCTGAATGCTCCTCATCTGGGGCTGCTGCCTCTTCTCCAACTCCATCCTTGCAGTCATCTGTTCCATTATTGCTTGCTCGGCATCTAGTTGTTGTATGCTATCCTTGTTCCGCAGTAGAAGACGGTGTGACGCTGACTTCCAGATCGCCCTCGAGTCTCCGATGCGTTGCTGAAGAGGCTTTTCCCAGTCTTGTTCCCAGCCCCGCGCTGGCTCCTTACCCGTTGCAGATAAAGCGGTTTGAGAATGGAATGCTGGTGCGTGGAGAATCCGGGCATTGGCAGTCGGTTTGGGTTGGATGGGTACGGCGGCCGATCTTCCTAATCCAGAAGGACAGTATGGCTTCTGGACTTGATGCTTGCGGACGTTAAGGGGTCGGATCGTTACGTCGACCGCAGAATCGTATCTGTCAGAGGGAGGTGGAGGTAGTTCTCTCCTGAGTGTTCGTTGCAGCTCAAACGACTCTTGCCATGAGAGCACGGATCGTGGGCCTTCTAATAGGCCTGACACATTTGCGTTTTGTTTCTGGGGCTCACCAACAGCTCGCTTGGTCACCCTTCCAGCAAACATCGGTGTTTGCGAACCCAGTCGCCCTCCAACAAGTGAATTCACACTCGGGTTTACTAGCCGAATAGTCTCGTCTGTCGGATTTTCTTGCGGTGTAGCCTTTCGAAGGCTTCCTGCTGAAGGCAACGCCCATTTAGTTTGTTCATCCCATGCTTTGGTGCCGCCGTTGTGTACCTTTTTCGAGGGCTGCTCTCTTCGACCGATGAGCCCTTTGCGTGGCGTGTGTCGGACATCGGGGCGACGTACAGGCGACGATGCCGTTTTACCCATATCCACATAGCTAGCGGATTTGTACTTGCGGTGCGGATGGTGATTTCGTAGACAGCTGCCAAGCTTCCTAGCCCAGCGGCGGAGACGCGATTCGCGCTTGTGGACGGTCATGATCGTAATATCAAAGTCAGTGTAGTTGTTTCCAGCGTTTTGAGGGTGAATTATTGCGTCAAAATTGTACAACGTGGCTGCTTGTGAGAACATTCGTGGAGATGCAATCGCGACCAAATAAACCGTCACAATGTTATCCAACGTTCTCATAGCAACGTTGTTCTGCTCCACTCTTCAAGCGGGGCCGATGATGATGTTGCTGCCCTGCTTAGCCATCCGGGTCCCTGAGTAACGCTGACGCCTGTTGCGGATGCCCGTTGGGTGGCTGCTTGGGAAGGGACACCCGTTCCATGTTTCCAGTCATCTAGCCGACCAACGCACCCAACCGTTTACCGTTTGACCGAATAGATACCCAGGTAATATCCTTGGATTCTCGAGCCACGAAGTGTTTGCGCTGGTAGTTGTGGCCGCGCAGTCGGTTCGTCGCTCCGCTGTTCAGGCTCGAGTGAGCCTATCTGGTATACAAGCTTCCACTAGCCTGTCCAGGAGACTCCATAGGCCCTGGGCTAGTCTGCACGCTTCCCAGATAGCACCACCGACAACTAGGACAGACAACGCGGTGGCCACGATGACAACGCCCACCACAATGAAGCCTAGCACGTGCGTAACCGACAGAAGAGGCTCTGTGATCCGCCATTCCACTTTCTTCTTTCCTACTCGTGCGAAGTAGAACGCCAGGAAGCCATACCGGCGCACCTGTATATCACGATCGAGACGTCCCACATATCCCAACCACTCTGCAGCGGTTATTGTGACCTCTTCCCCTCCTCCAACAGAAACACTGATCTTCTGCTCGAACCTCGCGATGCGATTGCACAATCCTCCGAAAGCCAGCTTGACAAGCAAAGCTTGGTCACTGATGCATGCTATGCGCAGCTTTTGCTTGTCACTGAAAAGTGGCGTGATGGTTCTCAAGACTGTTTCGATGGGGGAGTGTCCAAGGCTGCACCAGAAGCAACACCGAGAGAAGTGAACTTGCTCTTCGTGGAAGCATTTCTGTACTAGTACTTCTTTGGCGCAGCTGTAGAGTTGACGAGAAGTGGGGCGCGCGCTGAACCAGAGTTCTGATGGGGATAGGTAACTGCAGATGTTTAGGACGAGTTCGTTTGGCAGGCTATCCATCGAGGCTGTCGGCGGGGGTGAAGTTCTGGAAGGTTTGGAAGACCGCAGAGAGACGCGCTGTGTCGCATTGCGTCCTGAAAGTCCAGTCTCGCCTCCAGTGCAGTATAGTAACATCCTCGTGAAGCGCGTAGCGAGTGACAGAGCGGGATCCGACGATAGGAACCTTGCGGCATTAATACCCATCATTGTGTTGAGTGTCGATATTGCGGGATGGTCGCATGAGCTTAGCTTGCTGTACCTTGTCTTTACGAGGGGGTAAAGCAGGGCATCATACTCGGACTTTGTACCGGCTCAAGGCTTTGGTTGAGGGGTGCTTGGTGCTGGTCTCACACCGATGGGTGGCTCACAATTGGGTAAGGAGGCGTGAGGCTGAGGAAGCTGATGGTTCTGGGCCGCATGGCATCAGGCGCAACGTCGAATCGCAACTGTTGATGCAGTCATACCAGTTTCCCAAAAGGGTAAGAGGCTGCATATGCCTTTACACTGACCTTAGGCGAAACGGGTTCTTATACAACTGACAGGGGAGTATGCCTCGCATAGCGACAGCGGAAATCCACCGACAGGCGCGGATTGCGACGGGTAGGTGTATCGAAAAGGGAGCCAGGGAGCCCTGTGGCGTCGTAAGACTGAGGGTTCCCAAGGAAGTGGAAGCGATACGATCTGATCTTGGCACACGGTACATTGTAGATGCTGAAGGACCCTTAAGGCCCCACCCGTCTCTTTTCTGGTGGTGTGATTCACTGCTGACGCAGAGAAACTTACATTTTTTGCGACGTGAGTTGCGCCACGCTGACTGCGATCAACAGCTGCGTGCTCACCATCGTGGTATTATCATCAGCGCCTGGGCAGCAGTCCTGCTACTATACGCAATGCCATTTCTCGAATAGACCAATGGATCGCATGTGCTGGAAGACGGATCGGCATCTACTGGGTTCATCTTGGTCAGCATCCATGAATCAGCCTTCCTGCAGGTGCACCTGAACCTTCTGAGATGCTCCATCTTGGTCGCAGCCGCTCGAGACAGTATATGTGGCGATATTGATGCAACAAAGCTTCAGCGTATTCTGATATCTAGTGGGTGGGTTCATCAGTCTCTTCTTCGTCGCGTGAGTACATAATCCGCCGAAGGCAGGGTGGCAGGTTGCTCCGAGGACGGGAGCAGCACGGACCCTGACACGCCTGATTGCGGCCTCAGCCGCTTCCACTCCAGATGACGTCGCACGCGAACTCCGCTCTCTGACAGCCTGACGCTACCAGGTTTCACGTCGCAAGTAACTTTAGGTCGCCAAACGACCAGCGAGAACGCACACATCGAATGAGAACGAGGCATGCTCTTATGGAGAAATATCTGCAAAAACTCGGAGGATTCAAATCTCGCCGCGTCTTGGGAAACGGGCCGAAACTGAGCACACGCCTACGTCCTACCAAGGAGAAATGAGACGCCAGGAGATCTTTGTACACGCTGCACAACACAACAAGAAGCTCTAGAATTTTTTTAGAATGCCTACCTTATATTTTATATAGCAGACTCTTTTCTATATAACAAAAATTTCTTAAGAGCTAGTTATTGTAGCGTTGTAGGGTTGTAAAGTTGTAAGTCGCTTAGAAAGTGTCGCATTTTTCCCTGATACGACGTGCGCCCCATGGCCCAAATGAACCGAGGTGCCTAGCAGTCGAGGCCTCCCCTATATTTTGGAATCAGTACTAGTCCCCCGCCGAACCTCGTCCGCGATCAGTAACCGGTTCAATCTTCACACCGAAGGGGTGTATATTGCACCGCAGCTTCTAGAAGAGAAGTACATGTATATTAGAACGCGCGAGCTGGAGAATAGCAAAATAGCATCATCGTTACCAAAAACATAACCGTCATAACCGCACGAGGGCATAAAACCAGCGTTGAGGCTAACCAGACACCCACACAACATTTGGAGTTCAAGAACACACCATTCGGCACCAACCCACACGAAAATCAATAACCAGGTTCCAAGATGCAGAATAATCGTCAACTAAGCGATCCGGTGACATTGCCATCCGGTCTTGTGTTCAAGAACAGGCTACTCAAGGTAGACAACGAAGAAAACAAACGCAGTGCGACCATGTTCCTAATACACCCATAGGCAGCGATGGCAGAAACCATGTCAAAGTCTCATGACCCAACAGAGACCCTTATGTCGGCCTACAAAGCATGGGGAAAGGGAGGATGGGGCGGAATCATAACGGGTACAGTAGAGCTCTCACCAACTGATCTTTTTCAAGACTAACATGCAAAGGCAACGTGATGATCGATGAGCGCTGGCTCGGAAACGCCCTCGATGTCTCTCTCACACCCAGCACTAACCCCAAACTCATTGCTCAATGGCGCAGATATGCAGAAGCATGCCGTGTCGAAGGTACCCCAGCGATCGTCCAGCTTAACCATCCCGGCCGCCAAAGTCCTTTTGGAGCAGGTTCAAAGGGGCTATTCGAGAAGAACATCGCACCAAGCCCTATCGCACTACAGTTCGAAGACAACATCTGGGCAAAGACGGCGCAAAAGCTCATCTTCGGCACCCCTCGCGAGATGACAGTTGCAGAAATCGAAGACGTGGTGAAAAGACATGCCGACGCAGCCAAGTTCCTCAGCGAAGCAGGTTTCGACGGCGTAGAACTGCACGCCGCACACGGATACCTACTCAACATCTTCATGTCCCCGAAGACCAACCAACGGCAAGACAACTACGGCGGCTCAGCGTTCAACCGCGCCCGCATCGTTCTCGACATCATCAATGCTATCCGCGCTGTTGTCCCATCTACATTTACAGTCGGCATCAAGCTCAACTCCGCTGACGTCCAACATTCCAGCGATATGGAGGACGTTATGCAACAGATCGGTTTCCTGAAGGATACCGGTATCGACTTCCTCGAGATCAGCGGTGGATCGTACGAGAACCCTAGGATGATGAAGGGCGACGAGCCAAAGCCTGGCGAGAAGAAGGTGTCTGAGCGTACCGCGAAGCGCGAGGCTTTCTTCCTTGATTTTGCGAGGGTGGTTAGGCAGAAGTTCCCAGAGGTGGTCTTGATGGTTACGGGCGGTTTCCGCAGCTTGACGGGTATGCGTGCCGCGCTCGAGGAGAATGCTTGTGATTTGATCGGTTTGGCGCGACCAGCTGCTGTGGACTCGAGTTTTGCGAGGAAGGTCTTGGAGGCAGAGGCTGCGGGTGGTGATGTCAGTCTGAGGTTGGATGCTGTGAAGCCGAGCTGGCTGGTCAGCAAGATTCCGGTCAAGGCTCTAGGTGCTGGTGCGGAGAGTGTAAGTCTGGTCCCCGAGAAGTGAAGATGTGGATGCTAACGAAATACCAGGCTTTCTACGGCGCTCAGATCGAGCGAATTGGTAAGGGACTGCCAACAAAGACACCTCCTACCACAGCATGAGATGAATCTGGAAGATTTGGGTCGCTTTTACAAGGTCTTGATTTCTCTAATATGGTCAGCTATCATTTTATACTCAGGAGTTCAACAATAGACTTCGGGTATTACGCCTTTTCAATCAAGCTTCTACACGATGTAAACCATGTTTTGGTATCTCTCTAATTGAGCAAATACCATACTGCTGATGATCTCATGCGTTCACTGGAGGATTGGTTAACTGTTAACATGCCGCCAAAGGGAGAGCGATCTAGACTGTTGACAGTACGAGAGCTTTATGTAGGAGTGTTCACCACTTGATACGTTAAGAATAACGTAGAGACGGCTCTTTCCATCTCCTGTAGATGAGAAAGCAGCACGAGGTACCCGACTGTGCCTCCTCTACCCAGCCTAGAACTCTACTAATAAGAACCTCGGATTAGGTACAGGTTTCTAGTAAAATGTGCGTTCGACGGATGTCTCTAAACCTACCC